TGTTTTCATACCGAATGTTTTGGACTATTATTCTGTTTGAGTTATATCACTTTATCAAGCCTCATCTTACATTTCAAACTCCAAAATAAGTAATAAAAGTTTGTGTGATTTGTGTTGGGGTCGGATTGGGTCAGAATGGATATCAGTCAATACTCAGGCTGCAGTATCGGATATCAGAGATGAAAAGGTCCTATCGGGAAAACCCCATTAATTATGTCATAATTGTAAAATATTTCTAAATATATTATTTACATTTAGCATGAAAAACCTTTTTAATCCTGTGAATATGTCCTACATAGAACTGTGTGGCAAAATTTGTGAGTGTTACCTTTAAAGGTACCATTTTGCAATACAGTGATAAATAACAAACAAACAAAAAAATCCGACAGATTTATCTATTACCAAAATAATCATAATTTGAAGCCCTAGCAATGTTACTTTCTAAGATTAAGAAAAACTTGAATATAAAAAAATAAAGAAATTACTGTGGAAACCACATGCTAAAAAAAGAGAAAGTCCATCTATCAGTGCGCCAGGCTCGATGGAGGCCACAGCTCTCAATCCTCCTCCTTACCTTTTAAAGGTCTAAACCTACAAATCAAACTTTTTATTTAATGTTGGACTAAATACTCTAATTAATTTTAGCAACAAGAAATTGAAATTTTAAAATTTAAAAGTCTGGCTATTATTAAAGCCTACACTCTGAAACAGGGATAAGAATATTTTGCCATTGGACCTGCAGAGTGCGACAAGTAAAAATCCTTCACAATGTTTTTAAATGAGCTTTCTTTCTATTTCAGTCATTAAATGCTGACAATCATGGACAAAATGAGCTGTTAGCTGTGCTGTCATAGTTTCCTTCATCGCATACTGTTACTAAATCTGGCCTGTAGCGTGAACATCCATAAATAACTGATGGCAGCGTTTATCTGGAGGAATTATTTCTATTAGAAAAACCAACTAAGTCAGTCATGAACCTTTGCAAATCACTTCTTGTTTTATCGTTTAACTAAAGTTGCACCATTGGTGAGAGAAATATAAGATGTAATCCTCATAGTTTGCCAGAATAATGAGGGAGCATGAGATGATGGTGTTATGTTATCTCTATTCTCCAAATATGAAGAATCTGTTAGTTCAATCTCGTTCTGCTCTCTCTGCTTTTTCTCATAGTAGCTTCATCTGGTCTGTTCCTGTTTGGCTGTGACTCCATCCTGGAGAGAAATATCAGCTGTGCTGCTGCCATCAACACCTTAGTTTATAGATGTCGGAGATCAGCCTGTTTTCCAGTGTAGTCCTGTTTCCCTGACTGTGACTGGCTGGATGTGCTCTCTTCATCCTCTGACATGGGAGCTGGCTCGGAGCTGGTCTACCTGGCTGTGTGTTTCCTGGACGGGGCCGCCTGTGGAGCTGATGGACAGTTGTCTTTTCTATCTCTGCTTCTTTTTGTGTCTCTGCTTTTGTCTCCTTGAACCCCAGTCAGCCAGATGGCCGCTCACACTGAGCCTGGTTCTGCTGGAGGTTTCTTCCTGTTAAAAGGGAGTTTTTCCTCTCCACTGTCGCTACAAGCATGCTTAGTGTGAGGGATTGCCTTTGAGTCAATGAGTCGATGCAATCAACTGGTTTTCCTTAGATAGAAAACTTTGAATCAATTTGACTGGATGATCTGGTGAACTGTAAAGTGCCTTAAGATGACGTGTGTTGTGAATTAGCGCTATAGAAATAAACTGAATGAATTGAATTAAGGTCAGAATAAACAAAAACCCAGGATTCAGGTTTCACCCTTAAAAAAATGTATTTGTGGTCCTTTTACACCTTAAATAGACATTCCTTCTCCTGGAGGAACAAGGAGGCTGGATAGGCTTTAAAAGGAAGCTGAATGGAGATAAAAACAGACCAATCCTGGAACAAAAACCTGTCAGAGGCTCTAGAAGGTTTAACACAGCAGAGGAGAGGAGACTAACACTTTAGCAGGACAGCAACTGTATATATATAACCAGTACATTTGTGTCAGACTGGCCCAGTCAAAGTAACGGGGATCACTATTGAGTCTTGTGACTTTCTCTACTACTAAAAATAGGACAATAACAGGTGGGCTAATGGGTGGGATTATCATTACTGGACCAGTATGATAGCAAAACTATCGCTTTAGACCTAAAATGGTGCTGCTAGCATGATTTGGTGATTTAATACCAGCTGTGTCTGATCCCAGCTTTATACCGACTGACTCAGTGCTGCTCAAACATAAACTGTTCAGTTCTGGCTTCCTGTCCCTAAAGAGCAGCTTAGCATCGACAGCTACAGCAAGCTAACATCACCTTCATAACCACAGACAATGCATGCCATTCACTGCTAAACACTAATCTGGTTAAAAAACAAACTTCTCATTTACCTTGAGGTCGTTTTCTGGGAGATATTTACACTGTTTGGCAATCTCCGCGTATTTATCCAAATCTAGCGGCGCCATTGTAGCGCGAATAGTTCACTCCTTCGCGCTTCCTGTGACGCTCCGGCGCAGATCCTATTGGTTTACCCTCTGGCGCCATCTAACGTCAGCCTGAACAAACTGCACATGAGTCAATCAGGGGCTTACAGTTTGGCAAAGTTCAACTGGAATAATCCTGCTAATTATTTAATAAAATACCAGAAGAAAAAATCAGCAAAAGGTTAAAGATACCTTAAAGAAATTGATTAATCCGAAATTCATTTTGAATAGGGAACAATGCTTGTGAAGGTTCTCAGTCATCCAGGTCATAGTCATTCCAAAAACTTACAAACCAAGTCCAGTAGATTGTTTTTCATTTTTCTATTTTTTTTTTTTTTTTTTTTGAATGCAACGCTTTTAATTTATTTAGTATTTGGAAAGCAGCACACAAATTATGCTCAAGATCCTTTTACATGTATTTTGTAGATTATCTTCTGCTGTAAAAACTTCATGTAATAATGAGATATAATAATGTAAAAATAAAAAATAATGCAATCAAAACTCTTTCTCTTGAAATATTTAAAAAATATATTGTAAGAATATTTGCTTTTCAAACTCCAGAAAAGTTTCTTCTGCCTTTTAGTACTCAGAATGTTCTCTCTGAATGTGCTTTTGTATAATCCCATGTCAACAATTTTACACACTGTATATTTTGCCATATTTTCATATTTTATGTGTACCTATTTATTACGTATGTATTTCTGTGTTTTGTGATAAATATCAATGGTAATTCCACATTGCACAGATTCCGAGTGCAACATTTTTGTTTTGTTTTTTGATGCAATTTTTAACAAATGTTAATGTACATAATTTTATTCACATGGTATAAATTTAACGCAAGATGGAGTGCCCTATTCGTAGGTTTAGTGGTTTTATATTTTCCCACCCTTGTGTTTATCCCCATGCTTCCATTTGCAATCAACCTTGCTGTTGTGACAGGTGAATTTTCCCAGTGAGGGGCAATTAAGATTATTCTATTCTATAATATTGTATTATATTATATTATGTTCTATTATATTCTATTCTGTAAAACAATGAGAAAAATGTATAAAAAGGAAGAGATGGTAAGGAACAAATTTGAAAAAAAAAAGTGAGGACTAAACATAATAAAATGTAATGCAGATTAAATTGTAGGAATGTAACCTTGATCTGTTCATGTGAAGTTAGCCTACCTTTGTTGTGTCTATAGGGCAACATTTTAAGATCTATGTGTAACACAGACCTTCCAGTGTTGATGGTTATGGACACCTGGAACCTTGAGATTTTTTTCTCTTCTTGATAAACTTCCAATAACAACTGCAGGGAAATTTTAAGAAGAAATTAACATCGCCATAATAATCTGTATAAGAGTAACTTCCTTAATTATTCAGCTCTTTTTGTGGGAAGAAGTTTATATGTATTATTTTGTAGGAACAATACCTAGAAAATTCACCTCTCACCTTCTTACTTGAGTAAAATTCACTCAAACTTTTCTACTCTTAAATTGTAAGTAACTTGAGGTATTCATAGATCAGGTGGAAATAAAACAAACTGTTGATATTGGCAGTGAAAAATCTTTACCCTCTCCCAATATATGTATAATTCTCAATGCAATTTTTATGTTGAAAAATATTAATTTGGAAAACGGTTTCTTCTGCATGAATTTGTATTTTAGTAAAAAATTATCTTATTCTTTAAAATGCAAGAAATTTCACATAATGTCTGTCTGACAACATAATTTCTAAACATTAAATCAGATGATATGAATCAACAATCACTCAGTACTTGAGAAGACTTTACTGAGTACTTATCACACTTGAGTAATTTCTGGAAGACCACATTTTACTTTTGTTTGAATAAAAAAGTTGAAATAGTCCTACTGTTACTTGAGTACAAATTTTGTGTACCAGCTCTGGCTTCCTGCTGCAGCTGTATCCAATACCAACGACAAACTTTATTCAATTCAATTTCTATTCAGTTTATTTATGTATTACCAATTCACAACACATTCATAGATTTATAATAATAGGATCATTAGCGTATTTATAATCTAAGTCAGACACACCACAGAGAGACATTTATCTTACAATTTATCTGAGCTTTACAACATACATCATACAATTTTTTTTGTTTGTTTGTTTTTTTTATTCATCAGTATAGCAGAAGTCAGAGGAACTCAGGAGAAGGAGGATGCTGCGTTTTATGAGAAGCGTATCAAGTTTTCTATACTTTGACCACCAGGGGGCGATATAAACACGCACCTGAGGTATGCTAAGTAACTTTTCCAAAAATCAACGTGAAAGAACATGTATGAGCATTTTATCATCCCCATAATTAACATGAATTAAATAACTAATAATTAATTAATTAAGTAAGTGTCAGATATTTAAATCTCCCTGTAAGGTGTCCGAAATAAAGTGAAGTATCTCAAACAGAACTTTGGATGTTTTAATTAACCAAACCGTTAAGATGAAGGAAATAATTTCACACAAAAAAGCAGAAAACGAAAAGAAACATTGAACGAGTACAAACAGGTTATCAGCTAATAGTCTAATATGACTATAGGAAAAAAATATTTATGAAACAAGCCTGCACCTGTCACAGCCTGTGGGAGCGTAAAGTGGATAAACCATGTAAAACATATATAAATCCTTTATCATATGTTGTGGTTATACAGGATTATACGTAAACTAATGAGCCTATTATTTTATATTTATGAATGAGTTATTTAAATGCTGATGTTTGATAGGGGAAAGGGTTCGTTTGATAATAATCTACACATTTAGCCCCGGTAAAGGATCGTCCAATCAGCGATTAAAACGGCTCTAATCGACCGCCTTCCGGGGCTCTTATTGGCTGCTGAGCCTGTCAGTCTGTGTCGGCTGCTAGGTTGCAGTGAGACTGAAGTGTTGTCGGTAACAAACAGCAGCGTTACACCGCCGGGGGACATCAATGGTGGAGAAGGCGTTGATTCCGGGCCAGGTCTGAGAGAGACCGTTAGTGGGGCTTATGGAGAGCTGAGGCCGAGGATGCGGTTAACGTCCTTAATGATGTTCACATCCACAGCCCTGCTATTCATTCTCATCGGATATATCGGGTTTGCGGAATCTGCCCCTCGCATCAGTCCCAGCGATGCGTCGCCTGTCTCCGGTAGGAAGTCCGGCTCAGCCTCACACACCTGGGACCCCTTCCTGCCCGGCAGCGCTTCATCTGGGATCAGATCCGGGTTCGGTCCTACGGCTGGGATCCCCGGCAGCTCCGGCTTTAAAACGGCAACCACCTTCCAGCCTCCGACCACCGCCACCAGTCGCTCCACTGCCCTCCGCGGCGCAGGGATCATCTCCCCCAGTAAGGAACCGATAACAGCGCCGAGCTCCCGGCTGACCGGGACGCGCAAACGCTCCACCGAAGCTCAGACACTTTACAGCCCGGAGAAAACGCTGCAGACCATGGTGTCCATGGTTTCCCAGCACACCACCAACGATGCCTGGGCTGCGGACGCCGCGGATCCACCTGATACCTCAGTGGAGAACCAAGGTGAGCCATCCGGACCATCCGCCGCTTTCAGGCCGGTTTTTGTTGCACACAGAAGCAAACAAGGCGGCCGCGTCCGACACAGGCTGCTGGAGCCCCGCTCTGTGATTTTGACGCAGACAGCGACCATAAAAAGAAGCCAACAATAGGCAGATCCCTCCAGTCTCTACGCTGCACCCTTTGAAATCACTAAAACATCCAGAAAATGACACATTTCCACAGGATGCATGCTGCAGCTTTCCCTGTCTGGCCTTTGATGTGATCTGTAGGCCTTTTTGTTAGAGGAGGATCAAGCCACATATTCCAGTGGGCTGCAGGGGAGGGGGCTGTGAGGGGGTGTAAGGTGCTTCTGGTGTTGCTCGGTGAAATCTTCCCATCCAAACATCATTCCACTTGCATGTGGAGTGAAAGCAGCCACCCAGGGCAGCAGCTGCTCCATCCTCTCAGTATTGTTGTTTTGATTGCATCTGCAGCATCAGAACAAGGCCATCCAACCAAAATGGCCAAGCAGGCTAAAGCCATGAATGAGCAATGACAGTGGGGCCCCTCCCCTCTTACACCCCACACACATCCCAGCCTCCATGTGGATGTGTTGTTCTGTCAGCACAGCAGACAGATGCTGAAGCTTTTTAACCAGAATGGCTGGAAGTGAAAATCCAACCAACCGTTCATGTTATTATGGGGCCTGGATTTACATTGTTTACCTCAGTCTAAACATACAAAATCGTTTTCTTGTGCAATTTGGGATATTTTTTTAAATCCTAAATGGTTCGTATATATGTATATGCATGTATGTATGTATGTATTTATATATATATATATATATATATATACAGAGGCGTAGCCAAATTTTAATAAGGGTGGCCAGGTAATAACCAATGTAAACTGAGGGGTGGCCAAAAGTAGACAGGCACTAAAACCTCAGGGTCAATCTACACTGTTCCTACAGGAAAATTAAAGAGCAAAACATCCATATTTTCTAAATAAAGACAAATTATACTTTCCCACTGACTTTACTAACAAATAGACGCGTATATTTCAACATCCTTGCTTTCTACATAAAATGTATATTGGATAAAATTCTTTTAGGTCTGAGTTTTGGGTGAACATCGTTTCCATTGTCATTACTTACCTACTTTTATCAATAATTATTATGCATAAAAATTATATTTACAAATACTAATATCTATATAAATTGATCATTAATAAAATTTAAAATAGTTGTTTATCTATGATTTCACTGAAGACTCCCAGATGACTTGCAGAGACGCATAATTTTGTCTTTACCCCATAAAACACAAAATGTAGTTCTGAAAAGAGCATTAATTCTGTACTTATCGTCTTTAATGTTAGTATATTGATGTGCAGAATTAACCACAGTGTTTTTGTTCTCAAGTAATTGTTAATATATAAAAAAATTTAAATTTTTTGCCACCATCTGTATTAGAGGGAAATAAATGGTAGAGGTGGCCACAGGGGTGGCCAATGATTTGCTAAGGGTGGCCACCCCTGGCCCCCCCATCTAGCTCCGCCCCTGTATATATATATATATATATATATATATATATATATATATATATATATACCTCAAATCCAAATTCTCAGTGCAAATAAACTGTAGATATTTAGTCATAAGAGC